ACAAATACTGATCAGATACACTAAACATTTAAAATACAAACAAGTATGTATTACTCACTTCCACATTGCTAAAGTAAATATCTGAATGCTAGGCTTATCACAATTAGTCCATAAATAAAAATGAATCTCTGCTCTGCTCAAATGTTTCCCCTTAAGAAATAATGATAATTTATACATAAAATTGAATTCTTAATCACATTATTAACACTGTATTTATCTGGTAAACCCAACTAGAGTAAACATGATTGCTTTATATACAAGCAATCATGTGTGTTGATTTGATGTAATTAACACAGCAATTTCAAATCCTCATAGCTGATTCTTAAAGTTACATTTGTGACAACATTAAATAGTCAAAACTTCCCCACCCTTTGAAAACTGAATTAAACCTGGCAGGAATAGAATTAATATGAAAACAACTGGTCTTGACATTTGCAATGCAAGCCACATTAATAGTCCAATCCTATTATCATCTTGCTAATGTACTCGCTCTTTTCCTTGGTGTAATATTCTGGTGATGATTATGACAAAATGCTGTCTTTCATCACATTGCATGCTATATGCATTGGCATGCACACCAAAGAATCTGAATGCTTATTTTGGAAGTTTAGCATCTTTCCTAGACTTCACTGAACAAGAATAATGGAATCCCACCCTTGTGAATTGCAGTGTTTTCAACCTTCATGATAGCATCGACTTAATCCCATGAGACTCTCTAGCAAGCAGTTTTCAAAATCTGAATAAGGACAGGTGTTTGCAGTTTTTCCTTATTGAAGTCCATCTTCTGTGGCTCTCACAACTGGAAATTCTGCCCAAAATTATTGGCTTTACTATAAATGTTAATTATTTAATACAGTTTTTTGCTGCCTCAGTTATTTCAGTGGAATATGAAAAGAAACAATGAATAATTTAAACATTAATGAAATTATTGCACAAACTCTTCCACCAGAGTAAAATCTATGCTTCAGGAGGAATATTCTTCAGAAAATCCTGGAACAAGGTATCTGTTCATACATTTCATGAGGATTCTCTGTTAGTTACCACCATATTTTTTGTTTATTTGCTTGCTAGCTTTGCTTGTTTACTTTGATATCTTCACCTTCATTAAATTATATACATAAACTTAGCTGCAACTTACTCTCAAGAATGAACATGAACATTATCAATATTTTGCAGGGTTTTTTTTTCCTACAAAGCTTTCCAGTTGAGACTTTCATAGTGATTTACAACTTTAATTAATTAAACTCCACCATCCCCCAAGTGGCAAGTAAGCATTATTATCTATTTTAGAACAGTGATCTACTGACAGGATTCTCTCCCTTGGCTTCTTAAAATGCTGCCACCAATCTGAAGGGAGAATTAAGCTAATTTCTTTCTTCCATAGCTAACTCAACCTCATCAAAGTGAACTTATCCTCAGGGTTCATAATATAATATCGAAAAAGTATATTCCATCTCATTTCCAGAACCCACTGAAAATGTTATCAAAAATACAACAGCAAGAATAACAATAAAAGTAATAAAGTCTTATGGACATTTAACTACACTGCACAGCCGATTTTAACACAGAGTAGTTATTCCAATATGCTACACAGATTTTTCTCCAGTGATCCCTCCAATTCCAAGTAGGTGGAATTGACAACCATTTGGTTTATGACAAAAGAAAACTAATGTAAGTCTTTCCTGGACAACAGTTCTAGACACATAATCAAGAACAGCAACTTTTTTATTACTTTACCACATGTCCAAAGACTGTGCCAATGAAACAGGATAGTGACTATAAAAAAGAAGAAGAGAGACTGCCAAGAAAAGCAAATTCAAAGAGGGACATTGGGCTATGGAAAGGGAGCATATATTCCCATCATGCTATTTCCTTTCAGGATAAGCAGCATTATGTGAAGTGCAGAAACAAAGCAAGAAATAGTAAGCAAAATAAATAAAAGGCATGAAATAAGAAAAAGAAAATGAAACATAGCTAAATCTAGTTTACACAAATAGCACTGACTATATTTCTTGATATCCTTCTATCCTTGCAAAGCATCCATGTTTCTACACATCCATGGACAACTTCCTTTTGTTCTTTAATTTTGTCACCTCTCTCTTTCTGAGGATCTCATCAACTTCATCTAACCATTTTTTTTTTTTTGGCCTTTTCCTTTCTCTAGACTGATTGACTCTTCCTTCATGTGTTTGTTTTGCAATCCTTCATTCTCTCTATATGATCAAACCACCTCAGTGTACTTCTTTTGTATTGGTCACTCACTTTGGTTTTTAATCCACTTTCATTCAGCATCTATTCATTCTTGACCTTCTCTCCTTTTTTTACCCCACCCACTTATTAAGTACTATTATTTCTATTGCATTCAATTGTTACATATCTTCTGACATTCTCAATTCCACATAACAAAGAAAGTAAAAGCACACCCGTACACACATTTCACTTCTTGTGGCATTCATTTTTCACAACTGACCACATACTACCTATAAACTTTCTACCAGCACTTGCATGGCTTAAAAATTCTCCATCCATTTCCTCATTTTTAGCAATCATTCTACAAGGTACACACATTCAGGTACTTATTCTATCTTTTACACTGTTCACTCAATTTTGTTATATTGTTCATTCAACCATGTGTAAACACAACTACCTTGATCTTGGATACATTAATTTTAAAATCTGTAATCTTCATTGCATCATATAATCTATCTAACATTTCCTGTAAATCATTCAGATTCGTAGCTAACAACATGGTACTATCTGCATACCAAAGTACACATATATTTATATCTCAAATCAGTATACACCACCACAAACATTCCTTATACATTTATCCATAAATACATTAAACAACCAAGGGGACACTGCAAATCTATGCCTTATTTCCTGATGAATATAATAGGTAAAGGAGTCTCATTAGGTGCTTCACATAAAAGACAAATGTATTCTCAAATCATTCACATATAAAATGCTATCATATGTATGGTTGGAAGATATGACATACAGATAGACAGGCATAAACTTATACTTGTTTATATGAAAAATGATAACAATTTTTCAAAATACTGCAAATGTGTCTATTTTCGAGCAAGAAAAAAGAAATTCTAATAGCATCAAACATCAGACAACATAAAATGCTAAAAATACTCATACTGTTTGCAAGCAACTGAATGTTGGAAATAGGAAAAAAACATCAGCAAGTTTCCCCTGCTTTTGGACTATCCAAAGGCAAAACCAAGAATGGAGTCTAATCCTCCATAACATTTTGCTCCTAAGCATATCACTAATAAAGGCAGGTCTAACTGTCCCTCAGTTCAGGATAGTGGGTTGCAAGAAAAAGGTGCTGAAAAATATTTCTATTGTATTATACATGGGAGGATGGAAATCATTGAGACATTTTACAGGCTGATGAAAAACTTTCAACAATTTACAGTAGAATTATCTCAGAAACTTAATTATCAAATGCACACAGTGAATTAAAATTCTTGAAGAGTAAAACCTAAAAACACATAACAATGCACATGTATTATGTGTATTTTTGTGGATGCTTAATCTCCTCTTGGACTAAATTATATCCTTAATTCTAATTCTGCAATCAGACTCAATTGGTAACTGATACTAGAGTGGCCAAAGGAGTTATTTTAAAAACTTAGTCCTAATACTACATACATGTAATTTTTATTTGTTAGCTCTGCTGTATGAAGTGAATAGATGACGCTCATGTGAGATTAACTTAATTTTTATGCCTATCTATTATGTTGGGTAATTTTAAGACCCAAGTCAAAGGGCCAGAAAGTCTCCTCCTTTTCTACCTCCAGTCCATGTGATCTAAGCCTTTTTTCTGAC